AATTACTGGTATGAATTATCTGAGTGCATTGGATGCTGCTGCTTAAGTATAGTGGGTACAGAGTAAAATTCTACTCTGCTTAGGCAGGCTTCAAAAATTCAAGTTCATTTAAGGTCATTATTGGAAATTCTTCACTTGTTGCTCTTCTAGACATAACATCCTTCACAAGCACAAATTTTCACCTTAAAATGGAATGCAATATGGCTGCAACATAAGTCATTTTTCAATATACTAACTTCTGGCTTTAAAGAGTTACACAGCCTTAAAACCAAAAGACCATGTTTTGAGTTGTTTCCTCACTGACCTGCAAGTAGAAAAGTTAATGGCAGATTAAAGTGGTGCTCATAGCGATCACATGCTAAGGGTGTAAGAAGTTAAATTCACACAGGCACACTGCCAGTGCTGCCACAGTTGTCATTGTGATTTTGTTGATGCCATCCAGAGCAAGACTGCTAACTAATTGCCAAAACCACAGCCTTTACCAACGCACCAGAAAAGCTCTAAGCTGAAGACTTCAGTCTCACCTTGGGAGTTCTGATGAAAAGTGAAACAGCCCAGAGTTTATTTTCCCCTTGGAAGAGGGTAGGTGGTGTGCTACACTCGGCAAGCACTAAAACCCATGCACTTCCTTACATCCACTCCTCCCCCACAGTATTTCTTAGTCTTCTTCCCCACTGCAATATGAAACCACAAGGAAAAGAAATGAATAAAATTGAAACAAGCAATAATAAGCAACTTGTTTCCCAAAGTATTAATTCTATTCCCTCATCCCATGAGATAAAGATGGGAGTCAAACTCCATATGCTGTTAAAAACAAGGAAGTCCAGCTCCTCAAAAATTAATCAGTTCTGAAATGGGAAGAATTATTTTTTTTGTGCACAGATTCAGTGTAAAATTTCTTTACACTTTTCTCCTCTGGTATAAGAAACACAGCTGACCCAGCTACTGAACCAAAATTCAGTAGCTCTCCAAAACCCAGTGACCTCTCTGTACCTATTAGATGAGAGATAGTCATCTTATTGCTTCTATCTCCTTATCCACACTGAAAAAAAGTGATAACATCAGCTCTTGTATTGCTAAGCAGGTTGAGCTTACTACATCTTTCACAGGACACTGCTTTCCTCTGCTGCCCTTTTTACTCTTCATTTTAATGAGAGCATTTAATGCTTGTGAACGGACTCCAACAGCAACAGCAAAATCCAGGAATAGCGTGGGCAGGTGCTGTGCACAAATCTCTCCCACAGCTCTGTCAATCAATCTCCAGCCTGACTCATCTTCTGTGTTTTATTTTCCTGAAACAGAGATTAATAACTGTGCCAAACTGTACAGTGCTAAGTTCCACTAGGAATTAGAATGTTTGGAGGCTAATTTTCCCTCATCAATGAATCATAACTTGAAATCAGTGCTGCAAAGGAGTGCAGATGGGGCTGAAAGGCAGAACAACAGAACACATTTCTTACGAAAATCACTTCACTTGTAAAAACAATTTCTGCAAAAGAGAGAATCACAGCCTCAAGAAAACAGATACCCTTTTAAAGACTTGTCCTTCTTCACAACAGCATCTGAACAGCAACTGTTTTCAAAACAAATTAAGTTGTGCTATGAATTTCACAGTTCTTTTGCAAGAGCTAATTCAAACTTCATCTGTCAATAGCAGCATATACGTTTGGTTCACACCAAACTATGAGGGCTGCTCTGAAAGTAATGCCTCCTATTTTGCTACGTTGGCTTATGATATCAGATGCACATGTTGGTGGTGTAGCAGCAGAGCACAAACCTTCCTGCCAATGCAGTGTGAGAGATGGCAGCAGAGGGGTGGTCTAACAAAATGGTATCTGACAAGGAAGTGTATATGAAGCGAAGATGTGTGACAAATTTGCTCCATGCACAAAACGCTGCACCAATTGTCATTCACCAATGCTTGCTGAGAGTTTATGGAGACCAAACAGTGGATGTTAGCACAGTGAGGTGATAGGTGGTGCATTTCAGCAGTGGTGACAGTGAGTCACCTCTACTAATGAAGAATTTAGTAAGTGCAGCACGCAGGATCTTGTTCATCACTAGCAAAAATGCACAGCTAATGGTGATGACTAGGTTGGAAAACTAGTGTTTGTAGTTGAAAATGTACTCTTACCAAATAGTATTATTTTGCTCTTTGTATCTATTGTAGCTTCTATATAAATAAATAGGAGGCAACGCTTTTGGAGCAATCTATGTATGTTAAGGATAGTCCTGAAAGGTATTCAAAAAATGGCAAAAGGAGCCAAGCAATATTTGACTGCATATCAGCCTAAAAGTAAGTGAGCTCTGTGTCAGGACAGAAGACTGTTTACCCATGACTAAGTGTCACGGTGAGGTGTTAATATGGAGAGACACATAAGCACTTAGTTTGTAAAGATAAAATACAAACTTTTTATTTAAAGCAGCAGTTGAGTTATCTATGCAATAAACATGAAGGCTCTTGGCAAAAGAAAAGTTCCTGTAAAATCCACCCATGGATTTTGGCTACTTCCTGAAATCTGTCATTGTGGTGGATCAAAGCATTTAGTAATGCAAAGAAATCTCAGGAAGAATTTGGTAGGAAAAAGTTACTAAGACTATATAGTATAACATTTAACAAATGTAGCCAGGTTAAAATATTAGTAAGACATTCCATACTGTGAAGGTGGTGTGACACTGGAACAGGTTGCCCAGAGAGGTTGTGGATTTCCCCTCCCTGGAAGCATTCAAAGCCAGGCTGGATGGGGCTGTGAGCAACCTGGTCTAGAGGAAAGTGTTCCTGCCTATAGCAGGAAAGTTCAAACTAGATGATCTTAAAGGTGCCTTCCAACCCAAACCATTCTATAATTCTATGAAAATTCATATACATAAAGTAAACTTTGTTGCTGGTCTATACTTGCAGTGCAAGGAGTCTGTGAAGGAAGCTTTACAGGGGATCCAGAAGAACAAAAAGCAGGCGCTATGACATTTTCCAGCTGCCATAATTCAGATTTCACACTCATGACACCTTACAATTTCAGTTCAAGTCTTCTTAACACAGTTATATTCAAAGACTGCTATAAAAACAGGTCATTAAAGTTTCATATATGCTATACAGAAAAATCTAGGAAGATATAATTCTTCAGGTATAGAAGAATAAAAAAATAATCTTTGCAGGGGACCTGCTTTTCCCTAAGGTCATATCACCAGAACAGAGCCAACAACATTTTTCTTTAATACTTTAGTAATTTTGATGGAAATTAAAGTTATGTCATGAACTCCATAATGCTGATGCTACTTCTATAATCAATAATCTTTGCCTAACCTCAGTATTTTTCTTGCATTCTTAATTTTCAGTTTCTTCCACAATTCCCCAAACCATTGCCTAAGTTTTAAAACGGATATGCAAGGTTGACAGCCATTTATAAATTCCTTTGATGAGCCACCATTTCTCTTTCTCTCATCCAAGTCTGATTTAGCACAAACATTAAAGGTCCATGTGGGATTCCACAAATGGGGATGAGGACTAGGTTTGTGCAAAAGCATGCAGCACTGTCAGGCGAGGTTACTACAAAGGTGACCAAATAGTCCCAGTCACAGCTGCAACAAGCCGCTGCCTTCACAGCTCATTTGAGAGTTCCCCATGAATCTGAACAATGTAATTCATGATGAATCATGAATTCCAATGATTGGAGAAGAAATTTCAAAGGTGTTACCACAATGGACTAATTTGCTGACAAAAGGCAAAGCTGAATGAGTGGTGATCCAAGAGTGTTCTTTGAACACTTTTTTATGATCCTATTGTATCTGCACAGATCACATTTACCTAGAAATGGCACTGAGCAGGAGTAAGGAGAAAACCAGAACAATAATATTCCACTCTGCCAGAGATTCACAGAGTAGAGGTTTCCACAGGGAATAGCAGAGCATGCTTCCTTTTTGAAACAACGTGCGTTACTACTCTAAACTTGCCCTAATTTAGCATGTAATTGATTTAAATATAAAATGAGATTTTGTTTTTCCAGGCATAAAATATGATTTACTAGAAAAATGCATTATTTCTAATTTATGGCAACCCCTTCAAAACTCTTTTTAATTAGATGGGTATTTGTATTCCATTATTATCCTCAAGTTTCATGTCAGCATTATATTTGTACCAAGTTCTTCCCTAAAGAAAATGCTCTCCTCTTTTTCAGCTCACTATGCCCCAAAGTAATTCTGGGCAAGTCTCTGAAATGAATTTGACTGAAACAGACTCTGTGAGAACACTTATAACAAACTGTCATCTGCAGAACTTTTATTTCTGTCTGCAGATGCGTGGACAAACAGATGAGTTGCTTACAACAGCAACATGAGCACACAGAACTGTCTCTCTGCTTTTACAGAATCTGTCCTGTATATGTACAGGGGCAAAATTAAAATAAGAGATTAAGAAAGATAACATCTCCTTTCCAAGACTCCATTGAAAGGTGTCACACTTCACTATAGTATCTCTGAGGTAATTTCCTATTTTTCCACACTAAGTTTATTTAAGTTCCACTTTCAGGCATCAGTTCCTGTTATACCTTTGGCTATAGAAACAGAGATCTTCTACTTCGCTCTTATTCTACACTTGCAAAATCCTATGTATAAAGTAACTAAACCACATTGCAAACTTTCTTCTATAAATTGCAGGGATTAAATCTGCTATGCCTTAGGATGTAACGACACTCCTAATTACTTCAATGAATTTGTACAAATTATTCCTAGACACTCTGTTTTCTTAAAGTCCAAACCAGGGCCCAATACCTTATCAGCACTTACCAAAACTGTGTTTAGTGGCAAGACCACTTGTTACTTAAAATGTGTATTTCACATAATATTTTTAGCCATACTATTTGCTATGAGCTCACAATAGGTATCTATAAAGAGCCCTGCAGGGCTCTTAAGCTAAAAAAAATCACTCACCTTCAGCCAAGCACAATTTTGTTAAACGTTCGTCTAAGTGTTAACAAGCAGATAGAAGGAGTTGCATTTATTACCTGAATTGTCTGGTAAACCGAAGGATCAAATCCTTTCACAGTCACCTCCCGAAAAATTCTTGGCTCCAGTTCCTCTTTAGTCAGATCACAGTGATATATAATACCTATAACAGAGTGCAACTTTGTCAGCTTCAAGTAAGGGGCACTGTTAAAAGGATGATAGTTAGGCATTGTGATGGAGTAATGAATGATAATTCAGCAGGGTGGGAAAAAAAAGCTCTTGATAACTCTTTCAGTTAACACTTTTTAAAAAACACATGTATACATTTAATCTAAGAGGGATGCAAAGGTTTTCTGCAAAGACAATAGTTCTTGCTGCCCAAAGTTAGTATCGAAAGTGTGTTAAACAAACTGGAAAAAAAGAAAATCATTTGTTTTCATGAAGTAACACAGCATTTACTGAGACTGATAGAATTGGAAGAAGTGTAAAGTTCACTTTAAAACATCTCCCTCAGAGCTACCAGACCAAGAATAACTATACTAAGAATTTTATTCAAGACATTTTTCTACTTACAATAAAATATTTTGACATTACAATTCAAACAGAACCCTGGATAACAGAAAGAGCTAGGCATCAACTTGAGATTGTGACAATAGCAGAAAGTACCTATGCGACTGAACAGAATTTGGTCTCCTACCATTTATTTTACATCCTGATCCTGAAGGTTTGAAGGCAGCCTCACTTGCTTGAGACACATCCGTGTTTTCCAAGTGATTTTGCATGAGACAAATCTCTGCCTTTGAGCAGTATAAAACTTCTATTTAAACGTTCATTAAAGTAAAGAACACTAAAAGTTTGAGGCAACAAGCCTTCCACAGAAATTTTCTCTGCAATAAAATTAACCAGAGTGGACAATACTTGATTGAAATACTGCTGTATTGTGTACCTTTTAGGTAATTGCTTCTTGTTTCCTGAAAGTATTACAGAAGTTTTGGCTATAAAAATTATACTGAAAAATGAAATAATGAGGACACATCTGATACAAGTTAATTGCCTCATTAAATCATTTTTATAGACTGTGGAAAATCAAAGATAAAGATTGGTGAAAGAATATAAATGAAAACCAATACTTAAAAACTGATAAAAATTATTTCCATAATGGTGAATTAATGGGAGGAATAAAAGGAGGAATACTCTAACCTGCTGGGAAGTATTTTGTTTAATTGTACTTGCCATACAGTGACTAGCAAGCCTAATGCAGATGAAAATACAAAGAAGCATTACAGCAGCATTAAAGTAATGTGAAAGCACAAAGGAAATCATGCAAGGTGGTCACAGGCAGAGCAGCTGTTATACATATATATAGCTGCTCAGAGCAGGCAGAATAAGTGCATATTAGGAAACCACGTGATGAAAGAAGCAGTCATGGATAGCATTTTGGTAATGGCTTGGCACTTAATATCCCAAACCACAGTCATCTCTGGTACAAGCCAGTCCTTTGTATTTTCTGAACACAGATGTCTCAAACATGCTCATTACTTAAGCAACATGGACTTCCCAACTGGTAGATTCTGCAACATGCAGCCCCTTCCCCCAGGGAAGGGAACACAATTTTATCTACACTGTAGATGTATTTAGTACCTACTGAACAAGAGAATTTAAGTCCCCAGGAAAAAGAACAATATATAGTGGGAAAAAAAAACCTCAACACCTTACCTGGAGATAAAAATGAAGTAAACTGATAGAATATTTCACTGTCCTTCTTCTGACCACTATATCCCACAATACTCCCAACCTCTAATGGGAAAGTCTTGAGATGTGTACCAGTAGCTAGATCATGAAGTTGCAGGACATTCTTCACATCATGCAGGTAGCATAAAACGAGGAAGTTGGACCTCACACAAGCAACCCATTCTGAAGAGTATGGAAAAGAAAAAAACAAACATAATATATAAATTGAATTTCTTGAATTTATGAATATAAATTGAAGTTCTTTCACATACCTAAATACATACACCATACTCCCAAACATAAAAGATTAGATTTTTTGGATATGTGCTGACCATGTCGCTTTAAGCTAATTTATGCAGACACAGGCAGAATGAATTGTTTAACTAAGATTTTTCCTCATTTTGGCCATTTATAGATAAACATTATTCTTAAATACCACAGATTTCAAAAAAATTCCACTGAGACCTTGTTTTAACTTTCATGCACTTCCATCAATATTACTGGCAAAAATAAAATCATGATTTGGACTTAAGCTAAACTAATAATAATGAAGAGATGTATTATCCTGTGTTGCACACTAAGTATAGAACCTAGAAGGTAGCATTCATCCTGTTTTTATTGTCTCAGTATTCAGGAGACTATTCTTCTAAGCAAGCTCTATTCAGCATTAGAAAAGAGCTGTTCTGAACATTGTGCAATACTCAAACAGGCATACAGGAATTATGGACATGATTAATTAGTTTTGTTTGTAGCATTGGTGAGGTTGTGGTTCTTGTCCTCTTCCAACTACACATATGCCACTTTTCCCCTGATAAGTCAGACTGGAAATGAAAATCATGGACAGGGTGCCAGCATTACACAATGCCTTATCTTATCTACTGGAGGAAAATCAAAAAGATGGACTCAAATGAGCACGAAAAACCAGGTTGGAATGACTGGGGCATGCTGCCAGTGTCAAAGCAGCAAGTGGGGAATTTAAAATGCCAACACAGGAGCAAAAGACAAAACAGAAGCAAGAAAACATTGGCATAATTTCCATCTTATTCTATATTATATTATTCACATTTTAACAGCTCATTCTCTTTCCTCAAAGCCCTGTAAAAACAAATGTCTTGAATTCATAGAGTTGTACTGAACACTGTCTTGTAAAAGCATAATTGAGCATTCAGGAGCCAGAACAGAAGTTCAGTGACATATCATGTGCCCCTTCCATTAAGGATAACAAGCTCTTTCTGAACCTCACTATTTTGCACAGCTTAGCTTCTTTAACAGCTTCTGCTTTTGTATGGAGTTTAGGTCTGTCATGATCCCCAAGAGCTTGAACCTAGCAAGTCTATAGCCTACCCTTCTTTCGGCTTGATCAGAAAGAACTTAACCATATAAATTTATTTTATAAACAAGAAATTAAAGCTTAACTACTCCATCCTCTTCCCAAACATCACCCCTGAAATAACTTTTTCTTATTTTTCTTTTTCTCCTTTTCCTCCAGACTTTTCAACTCCCTCACATAAACTTCTAGCCTAAATCTGGGAATTTTTGAACAGAAATCCCAGAATACAACATAAACCAAAAGTTCAGCCACAAAGCCACAGTCTGAAATAGTATAATAGCGTACAATATAACACTGTTTATAAATTTAATGGTCATCTAATTTTACTTCTGGAGCTTAAGCAAGACTGGAGAACAAAACATGCTTCATGACTTTATTATACACAAATACATATTTTGAAATATAGAATCATTCCCAGCCACATACAAAGAAAATATGCAGTCATTTGAAGCATTTATTACATTGTTGTTGCACAAATCTGCCAACATTTACATCTATAACTGGATCACTAATAAAAAAAAATCTGAACTAAATCCCTCTAGTAACATCCTGCTGTAACAATGAGCTCCTGTAAACTCTGTATTCTCAGTAATATCTATGACAAATATGTCTCCGTTTACTCTTTAAATTCCCTGGCAAAGTTTCACAAAATGGACTGAGATACTCTCAAATCAACCTCAAACATATTATACACATAGCTCTGCTTCAGCAAGGGCACTCTTTATTTTAAAAATTAAATTGTGATCAACCTTAATTCCTCACTAACTAACTAATAGCACTGCAATTTAGTGGATGTTTTCATTAAAAGTCAAACTACATTAGATATTACTCTTTTCTATTAAAAAAAAAAAAAAAAAAAAAACAACTCATTTGCCCAGGAGGCATAAGGCTTCTGGCTTCCTGTTACTAAAGAACTTGCCTGGGAAGCAGGACTATTAACCTCATCATCAACTGGTTCATTTACAAATAAGATACTTTCAGCAAGCTGGAGATATTAGATGAAAAGACAATGGGAAATTGCTTTAAAATTGTTTATGAGATTTCAGCAGCATAACCTTGTAATAATTGTTATGGTGCATTGATAACTGCCTCCAAAACTTACAGTAGTAGTATCTACATAAAGACGTACAAATCAAAACAGAACAAAATAACTGAAGCAAGCTTGAAAGAGCAGAAGAAAAGAAAGACTAAGACCCAACATTTATACATACAGTAAACAAACAATGCTAAATTATTAACAAGAGCTATTTTTGACTGCAAGCTCAGCCTGTTACTCCCCTGCTCACCACTGACAACTGCAGGAACTGTCGAGGTTGTTGTGACAGCAGTCAGCCTCTGGTTTTGCACATACTTTGCAGAATGCACTATACATGCCTCTGCACTTCCTTGAAGCTTTTATGACTGTGTGTACACAAGCCTCACACGTCTAAAAAGTTCAGGCTGACACCACTTGCTGTACACTCCCTTTTCAGAAAACAGGCAGCAATGAACATCCGTAGGATGTAGATCACCTAACTATTTTGGCCGCCCTGTTCAGTTTCTCTACAGATTCACATACTGAACAATAAACTAGTAGGAGGTTGCCTTTTCCAACCTGATCCTTTGGCTTAGGCATCAGAGATGGATGGAAACACTGGTCAGTGCTAAAAGTAGGCAGGAAGGAGCATCCTTGGTACTTTCCATTTCTTTCTGAAAATGAAAATATCCATCTTGATGACTATGTAGTCATAAAAAGATACTGACAACTTATTTTCTATACAATATGCTCATGCATCCACTCAACAAATAAGAATGTGTTAATGGGCTGTGAAAACTTTAGCTAGGAAATGGATTTGGGTCATTTTTGGATTCTTTGGTCATCCAAATGATCATCATCATTATGATGTCAATCAATGTTCAGTGCCTCAGCAGATTAATATATATGCATGCTGGTATCAAGCAAAATGACCCATAATTACCACTAAAAGATAGCTGAAGATAGACTTGAAATGAAAGCACTAGCAACTTGCAGAATAAACCATGAATCATTTTAAAACATGTGAGGGTAACCAAACCCTCACAGCATCTGTCTTTCCTCTGAGACACCATCAGTGACAGACTGCCATGATTAAGTTAAGAGCAAAACTCCAGCCAACTTCAGCACAACAAGGATTTTATACTCTACATTCTCACAGTATGAAACATATAAATGAGAGAGCAAGGGGGTGGGCAAAGCTCTTCTGAAACTGCAAATATCAGGAACAATGCTTTCTGAAATAATCAATAGGCTTTAGTCATCTGTGATTGATACAGCTTCTCCATAGTAAACTGAGTTAAACAGATACAGTAAAGCCCTACTCTGGGAAGTAGAATAAGACTTAAGTCAGGGACATGCATCTAGACCACATCCTCTACATCCCTGATTGAGGGATGCATCTAGCTTGGCCAGATCTTAGCTCTTAGTTGCTAAGAAACATGGCAGCTAAGCCACACACCGCATCTTGCAGTAGGAACTTATCAATCTGGTCCTTTGCACTGCAGCCAAGTTCTTTCTCTCTGTCATGATGGTGTGCCAGCCAGCCCCCCAGAGTACCTCCTTGGGGTAACAGACAGAACAGCTGCTCCTCAGAGCATCCATGCAAACCTTCATTTGCTTTACTTTGAACACAAAACTCTCCAGTGTGGAGTAGGGGTATTTTGAAAAACAACACACAGTAAAGGAATGCAGAAGTTTGCTCCCAGCTGAGATAAACATGAAGGAATGTTCACACCCATACAGATTCCCTGCCATTCAGGATTAATAATTTTGTAATCTCAGTTCAGTCTTTCTCTCCTGGTTTCACTATGCTACCAAAAGATAACCATCTCCAAAAACACTTCATGATTCTGGATGTTTGTTCATTATCACTGCAGATTCTTAAGCATTTGATTTAGAAGGTTAGAGGTATTAGAGAAATTACTGCCTTTCTCTAGCACAAGATAGCAGAAGGAAGGCAAGCATTTTACATGCCCTGAATTTAGGGGTGCAGATGTTTGCAAGGTACAGAAAAATTGCTAGCTTTGCCCCTGCTTATTAATGGTTGAGATTTAATGGCATGGCATGGAGATTGGAACTAGATGACCTTTAAGGTTCCTTCCAACCCAAGTTCTGTCATTCTAGGATACGGTTCTATTGTTTAAAACACTTACTTGATCTATGACGTTCAGGAATACTGCTTACTTCTTAGCCCTCCTTACTCAGGAGATCTATTTTTCTTTTCATAGTCCCAACTACATGGCAGGGTGCAACTGCCACTTTTAAGCTGCCCTGCTTCACAAGTACTGAGCACTTTTGGGGCAATGAGATAGTTTAATAATTTTTTGAGATCTATAACAACACAAGCTACCATCCAAGTGTTTCTAATGACCACAGCGATTTTTGAATGAAATCGGCCCACACCTTTGCAGCTATGCAGTCATTTAAACCACAAGTTCGATGTTAGACATGAACCTCCCCTAGGGTTAAATTTCAGATTCCCTGAAGATCAAGAGTAACACTTTATAAACAAGCACAAAAGTGGGAGGGAAATGCGTTTCATTGCACACCAAGATGTCCTCAGGTTCCTCCTTAAATTTCATTTTAAAATAGCCATCGTTTATTTCTTCCCCTCAACACAGAGAGAAGAGATCCAAATTAATCTCAAGTCACCATGAAGTCCCTGTTGTAGAATGAGGTGTGTGATCAGCTTCAATGTGGGACAGTAATTGCTTTTTCCCTGTATTTCCCAAATTAGCTTATGTCTAAACAGTTCTGAAAATAAAAAAAAGGTCAAATTCAATTAAAACAAACTATATCTGGTAAAACTGACATCCATATTGTCGTGTAGGCAAGAATATTTGTTTCTTGGTTAAATCATATTAGCATGTTTCTTAAGAATGCATTATGACACTTTGTGGAATTTCTCTTTTTACCACCAATGGACAGTGGCAGAATTTTATTAATACTTAATTTATTAATCATAAATAAAATCTATATGCATGTAGCAAAGGTTTTCTGAAACAGAATTCAAGTTACCTCATAGAAATAAAAGCAGACTGTGTTAGAGCAAGAGTTTTGATTCAAGTATTTATACATCCAGTAAAATTACAAAAAAGACATTTGTGGCCTGGAGGATCACTGACTATATTATTTATAAGGAAATTCTAGCACAACTGATTATATCTGAGTAAACAGTCTCCCTCACATACCTTGAAGTGGACAAGTAGCAGCGCTCATTTACCCTTTGAATCACTGCTGTCCTACCTTTTGCTGAAGGCATTTCATTACACTGTCATCTCTGGATCACACAAAATCAAATTCCCTAGACTGCAAGGCTTACACAAGGCAATGAATTATTAACTACCTTCTGCTATAATTATGTATTTCCAAACCAAATCTTGGAATGATTAAAACAAAATGACAGTGACTGGTTTGCCTGCTATCTTCAAGTGTGTTAATTTATTCAGGGCTACAACCTCCTAAAAATGGTAAAACTCCCTTATGCTGGTGCTGAGCATGTAACACTAACTTGCAACTGTTTACCAGAGAAAAGCAACTGAGCAATTCAAGTTTATTTTACTGTAGCACTAACTCTAAGATACACTTATAACTGACCTTCTTGTGGGGATGCTTTCATTTGCTCATTTAATGCAATACCATTATGCACCATTCCAAAAAGCTGGCAAAAAACAAGGATATGATTGCCTTTTCTTGCTCCACATTCAAACCCAGCAGAAGCCTGATAATACACAATGGAGTCTTGAAAATCACTGTGATAGTTTCATATGACAGATTATGTTTGCCTTCAAGTGTGTAAGAGCTGAATGCCTGTTGTGTTTATAGTCTGAAGGCCAATGCCCCCAGCAAACCCATTTATCCAGGCTTTTGATTCTCTAACTGCAGCATTTGTTATGTTTATATAGTCAAGACTGTCGCATATAATTCATTAGAGGAATGTTGCATGCATTATGCTGTTTTTTTATACATGCACAAACATGAACTCAGCATGACTTTCCTTTAGAATGAAAACAAAATGGAGTTGAGCTATGTGACATGGTGCAGTGAAGAACAGATGTGGCTTTAAGTTTGCTAGGAAGGAATATCTAGCTAGTGCCTACCTACACAGGCATTGCACAATGCCTCTAGGCTGCCCAGATCACAGTGCAGGTAAACCCATGTCTGTTAAATGTATTTTACACCAATCACATGCCTCTATCCCATTCTATTTCAACACTTGCTTTCTGTAAGTCAATTCTCCAGCTTGGTCCCTTTCTATAAAATACTGTTCCTCGTAATCTACGTATGGCTTCATGGATAGACAGCAAATTCACTTGCAATCAAAAATCAAACTCAGAAGCAGTTTTTTAAGAGTTTTGCACTTGGGCCAGAGGAATCTGAGGCATCCATACAGACTGGAAGGAGCGGTCCTTGAGAGCAGCCCTGTGGAGAAGGACCTGGGGGTCTTGATGGATGAAAAACTTAACATGAGCCAGCAGTGTGCCCTTGCGGCTTGGAAGGCAAATGGTATCCTGGGCTCCATCAAAAGAGGGGTGGCCAGTAGGGACAGGGAGGTGACTGTTCCCCTCTACTCTGCTCTTGTGAGGCCACATCTGGAGTACTGCATCCAAGTGTGGAGTCCCCAGTAAAAAAAAGACAGGGAGCTGTTGGAGAGGGTCCAGAGTAGGGTCATGAAGATGACCAGGGGACTGGAGCACCTCTTCTCTGAGGACAGGCTGAGGGAGCTGGGCTTGTTCAGCCTGGAGAAAAGAAGGCTGCGGGGTGACTTCATTGCTGCATTTCAATACCTAAAGGGAGCCTATAAAGAGGAGGGGAAACAACTCCTTGAAAGGGTAGATAACTGCAGGATGAGGGGAAATGGTTTTAAGTTGAGGGAGGGGAGATTTAGGTTGGACATCAGGGGGAAGTTCTTTACGGAGAGAGTGGTGAGGTGCTGGAACAGGCTGCCCAGAGAGGTTGTGGATGCCCCGTCCCTGGAGGTGTTCAAGGCCAGATTGGGCAGCCTGGTCTAGCATTAGGTGGGAAGGTTGGTACCCTGCATGTGGCAGGGGGTTGGAGATTCATGATCCTTGAGGTCCCTTCCAACCCTGGCCATTCTGTGATTCTGTGATTTTAGCTTGCGTGCAACAATTATTCACTGTCTAGAACTGGAAATGTACTTCATTTAAAATCCAGACTGTTCATAATTCAAAGAGTTCATAATCTTGAGAAAAAGATTTGCGTCTCACTAAGCCCTGCTCACTACTTCTGTGTTTACCCAAAATCTTGCAAAACTCAGACTCCAGTTGTTAGGCAACATCACTGCAGTTCTGGACATGCTCCCATAGGTGCCTCATTTTCCCTCACAGATCTGTTACATTGGACAGATGGGACAAAGACTGCCCAGAGAGCTTCTGGTCAACTGAAGAATATCTCAAAAACTATGTCATAAACACTTCATTCTCCATTTATGCTTTATAGAGGTGTAGCCTGTCTAGGCTGCAGCAGAAATCAGGTAAGATACAGTGCAGAAATAGAGATTTCTTATAGGTCTTGGAAAGTGAGATCTTAATCAGAATTCAAAATAGAGCCAATTAGATTTGTCTTAGTAAGAGACAGTATAGTAATATACTTAGTAAGTATATACTTAGTAAGTATATACAGTAACATATATGTATGTCCATCACATATACAGAGAATTTTACTCATTCTAAGAAACAGTTCCTCACTGGAAAAATAGCAGACAGCGAATTAGTGGATTTGTATAGAGAAGGATTAAAAAAAGAAGTTGAATCTTTTTGTATAGCTGTAATTATGGTAGTTGGATAAATCATGATCAGATCTTGCACGGTCTACAGATTAGACTACATGAATGTACACAAAGCATCTGTCAAAAAAATAGCTCAGGAGAAGTTTTTCTTTATTATCTGAAACTAATCTAAGCACAATGTTTTAGTATCATTTTCCCCAAAACGGGATAAGAAACCTTCCCAATGCTGAACCTAAGTTCAGAAAATTTGTCACAATATACCTTGAAAAAACAAACATTTATGTTTTTAAGTCACTTTTATACTCCAAGAATTCCATGCACTTTGACTGTCTTGAGGTTTTTTTCTACTGCTGTCTACTCATTTCTATCTCTGACCAGGTCTGCTCATAGTGTGCTATACTATACTATGCTTGTTCTTTTCCTTCTTTCTGCTTACAAAGCCCCACTTGCTGCAATTTCTATCTAATAAGCATTTACTACATTAACAGAAAGCAGGAAAATATCTTCCCCTCATTTCCTACAAAAACAGAATTAAAACAACGACAGATTAAGTCTGTCTCCTTTATGGCCACACAGGATGAAAGAGATAGAGGAATGGAATCCGGACCTCTCAAGTATTAGGCAAAACTTAACTGCAAGCAAACACATGAAATCCTAAACAAAATTCAAACACAGTAAAACAGTAAGGTCTGTACAAGATCATCCAACTGACTAATGACTGTATTAGTTTAAAAAAAAAAAAAAAAAAACAGAATAGAGAGACTTTTACATGACAAACACTTACCTAAAACATCTCTTTCATGCTCAGGGATGAGAACTTTCCATTTCGATTCTTCTGGGTCACTGAAGTCAATGTTGATTAATCGGTAATTTGGAGAAAGACGGTTTGTCTTGAAAGTGAATACTGTTCCTTCGTTGGTGACATACTCATACTCAGCCTCAAAGTTATCTATCAGCTTCACCCATTGAAGAATTCCTGCAAGATCAAACATATAAAGTGAATTCCTCAACTTCTGAAATAAAGCTTCCTTACACTCAAGAGCAAGGGCTTCCTCACAATTACTGTAGGTTCTTTCTCCAGTAACAACAGCAATCAAAAGGGGCAATGCTATTGGAGGGGCTTAATATACATGAATAATTAACCAGCTTAATAGGCTGCAGTGGAAAAATCCCAGTTTATGGACACGTTGAGGAATTTCTAACTAAATTCAAGAAGAATACTGCCAGAACTACCAGAGAATCACATAACTGAGTAGTTGGAAGGGACCTCTAAAGATCATCTAGTTCTACCTGATAAAGTAGGTTCCCTAGGTTACACAAGAAAGCATCCAGGCAGGTTTTTCAGTGTCTCCAGAGGAGATGACTTCACAACCTCTCTGGGCAGCCTGTTCCAATACTCTGTCACTCACAAAGTAAAGTTTTTCCTCATGTTCATATGGAACTTCTTGTGTTGAAGTTCATCCCCACTGCCTCTTGTTCTGTCTCTGGACACCACTGTAAAGAGGTGGGCTCCATTTACTTGATACCGTTCTTTTAGATAGTTACAAGTGTTGAAAAAATGCTCCCTCAGTTTTCTCTTCTCCTGGCTGAACAGCCCCATGTCTCTCATCTTTTTCTCATGAGGGAGATGCTTCAGGCCCATCACCATGCTGGACTCTCTCTAGACGTTCCCTGTCTGTTCTGGAACCTGTCCAGATCTCACTGAATGGCAGTACACCCTTCTGGTGTTTTAGACATTCCTGCCTGCTTCACATCATCAGCAAAATTGCTGAGTGTTAGTGTTCAGCTATAGAAGTCCTTTGTTTTCTTTCTGCAAAAGATTTTCTCTCTTCTTGAAGTGTAAAGTTTTCCATATTCCCTGAAAGCGAATAGTTTACCACAGAAAAGAAACGATGCTATTTGAATGAGTACAGTACATTTTAATATAAAGCATTTCCCTGTCAACTCAGAGATAATATTCCTGGATGTTATTCTACAGAAGCTTGTCACCACTACCAGAAGGACTACACATAGTTAGCTGAATAATGTTTATCAAGAATGATATTGCATTTTCCCTATCAACTTTCTAGAATACCACATCCAATAATAGAAGTACAGCACTCTTGACTATGAACTGCCTCAATTTATTTGCTCCCTACCACAGTCTTAATATTGAATAACCTGGAGTAAAAATAAGAAATAAGCCGCTACTTACTCACATCTTACTTTTTTTTTGCAACAGATTTAGAGGCCAGTGGAAAGAAAGAGAAGAATACAATAGATATGATCAATATGCTTGTTACATCTGCAACTCAATCTATCAACCAAGCATACTATTATAGGCATACAGTAAGGAAGAGTCCTTACTGATGAGAGAAATTGAAACTTTTCCATTTGTAAATAACAATTGCCCATTTTCTACCTCATCCTTTATACTAAAGGTTGTTTCTACATAAAGACAAGGACCCAAACAGTGCATAAGTGTGTTCATGTAAGTCCATAACACAATATTTCCTTCCATAACTCAGCACAACAATATTAATAGTTGGTCAGGATAATAGAATTAGGTCATAGCTGAGCTATAATTGTTATAAGTTTAAAAAAAGATAACTGAGGAAGCAGTGACATGGCATTTTAAACTCATTAAATACAGTAAGAGTACAGTCAGGTCTAGTATGTTCTTGAAGCTCATATCACTCACTTAATTGCCAATTTAGTTTAAGGAAAACTGCCCTATCTCTTCACACAAAGTGAGAGATTAGTCAATTAAATCTTACTTTTTATACTACTGTAATATAAACTTTGCAGATAATCTTGTCAACTTAGTATTTGAGAGAACATATTGCATGTGGAATCTTTATGTTTCACTGGGGCCCAAACTTCCATTTTTCTCAAGAGATTTCATGAAGAAAAACCTTGTAAGTCCTCCCTGCAGTTCTATGGAAAAAAAACTTGCTTTAAAGTCCAGAAAAAGCAGAAAATCTATCCTACGTCTAACTCTAATATATACCAGTGAAACTGTTGTAAGATCTCAATTCACACACACAACAGTTTCACAAGATAAAAATTTAATTGCAGTATAACACTATAAAAATACTGGCACATTTGTATTTTAGTCTCTGGCAGAATGAAATCATCCTACTAAGGAAGAATGAGACTTCATAAAAAGGAATCCCAAGTCTGTTGAAAAAAATTCTTTTTTATGGTAAATGCACATAGTAACTATAAACTGCACAGTCAAAAGAAAAAATAGGATTCAGTGGAGAAAAAGGACAATGTCATTACATTAGCTATTTATACTGCTGTCTTGCAACTCATTTATCCAGTCCCAAAAGAACAGTCAGTACACAGTGAAAGAGCCAATATTCTACAGGGATACACTAAGTTGTTATTACAAATAAATAAATAAATAAATAAAATCAAGAGCATTCATCTTGTTAAAGTGGATATTATATAGTCCTTTGAAGACAAGTACTGCAGATGAATTACCTCTAAACCATTGTCTCACTGAAGTGATTAATTACATCAATATCTGGCCTGAGTGAAGAGCCAGTAACAAGGCAACTACAAGCAGCTGAAAAGGACAGTTACATCAGCTACATTTGCTACTACTACTTGCTGTAGTTTTTCAGTGAGAGGAAGAAACTCAGCCATAGAAGGTGCATTTGTATTGCGGACTGCAGCTGACTCAGATATAGCTTGCAACTGAAAAGGATGCCCCAGCATTGCCTTATATCACTCTGTTTTGCTTTTTCCTTTGGGCTAGAAACAACAATTGGTTGACCAGCACAGCCACTTCCCTGGGCTCCAATAAGGCTGAAAACTGACTAGAGGTGGAGGAATCTGTTATGAGGCTGAACACCTTCTGGCTGCTGATGCCCAGGTCTCCCTAACGTAGGGGCAGCCCTTGCAGCCATGCCAGTATGGAGCAGCACCCCAATGAGCAACATGACCATGGTGATGGATTGATTCAGCACCTCTTCAAGATTTGCTCTTCACCCTGCTCTTCCTAGCCTACTTTCTTGTTTTGCATATCTGCGTTAGAAGTGCTACAAAATAAGGCTCTCTCTTTTGTTTCCTGACCAAGCACACTGCTATGACAGGGGAGCACCAGTATGTACAAGGCAGCAGCAAAGAGAAGCAGAAGAGGAGGTACATTTTTCATGATTAATGAGCCATAGGAGAAGCTTGACTGAACGAAAACTGCACGCTCCTTTATCTCCCTCCTCCAGCAGCAGGCCTCCACTTTCATGCTTGGTTTGGCATTTCCTTGAGTGAACAGTACAGCAGATTAAATTAGTTTACCTAGAAGAACGTTCATCTGTTTTACAGGATTTTTCTTTCCCTGACAGATTAGCAATGGTCATCACCTAATCACAAATTGAGATAGGAGATGCTGACTGACTTAAAGTGAGAGGCCAGCTCTAGGTAACCTTTGGGTGTGAAAGCACAGGTAGAGCCAGACAAAGGACCTGTCTGTCTCAAACTGCTCTCTCCTGTACCCAAAGCACCAAGGGGAACAGACAAAGCAGATTTTTGTTGAAAATAGTACATTACATCAGGAGGGAAGTTTGTTTAAAGGAACATAATTTGAAATGCAAAGTATGACTTGTTAAAGATTCTGTCTTTCTGTGTCAGGAATGCATCTACGGGTCTGTCGAGATGAGGAGACATACATTTAGATTTAAGCTCAGTGTAACCAGATTAAGCGCAACTCTTCTGTTTCTTCAAGTGTCTTTTGTTTGTATGGGTAGCTACTGAGTACTATGGAAGGTATTCTGCATGCAGCCTTCACTTGGCATGAATTTAGAAAGATTCTACAGAAACTGATCAAACTCTCAAAATCAAGGTGAAGTATGTACTGTGGCCTTAAGCAGTGCTCATTTCCTTACAGAACATCCTCTATACATGTGTAACAGGGCAGGTCTTACGGCAGCTGAATGAACAAGGTTGAGAGCTGTTATCATAAGCATCATCAACAGAAGAGAATGTTGAAATCTAAAAAGTTTTCATGCAAAATAACCTACGAAAATACCTTAATTGGAGCTGCAGTGCATAGATCTTCCATCAGAGCAAGGATGATGGACCTGCTATGGGCCATAGACTGCAGTCAGATCTCTGTACACTTGTTATGTGATCAGCACATTCTTAGCAAATAGTGAAAGACACATGCTCACCTTCCATTGTATGGCTGGATGGGCGTTAACTTGCTGATTATATCCATGACCAAAAGCAAATACATGCATGCATCTAGTTACCTAAACAGTTTCTCCTCACCCTTGAAATATTTTGACAAAAGGTCACCAAAACCAATAAGTGGAAGGCTGCTTACCCTGATCTAAAGCCAGGTGAAGGATTCCTGTTTCAGTCTCAAACTCAGTGTTCCAGTAACAGAAACAATACATCTCTAAGTTATGACGTTAAAAAAGCGTTCCAAAAGCACTAACTTATCTAACTCTGTAACTAAGAATAGTCACAAAGAGAAAATGAATTTAAAAAAAAAATGCACTTGCAAAAATAAAAAAATTGTTCTTAATTTTTTATGTTTGCATAAATAAAACTCAATAACTAAGCACTAAGAAAGAAAAGCCTCTAATTCCAAGAAGACAAGGCCAGAGGTGGTGCACTCAATTCATTCTTCTTTAAAAGAAGGGAAGGCAGGAAGAGGTGAAGAACAAGATCTTTATTAAGACTTGCAAGTTTTACTGCCTCTGTTCTGCAATCTGTTGAGAGTATATCTCAGAAGAGATCCACTAAGAAGTGTTTTCAATCCAGGCTTCCTTACCCTCAACACCAAAATCATTGAAGACTCAAAGTTTAATCCACGTAAGCATGCAATGTGATACACGTAGGAAAAGCATGAGGTTAAAGTTGTTGATAATTTTCTGTATGTTGCTATAACTTAATCCTTGTTCCTGCCAGTCCTTCCGCTAAAGTGCCATGCTGAAGAGCTATAGACAGTTTAGCATACATGTTTTGCCAGAGAAATATCGACCA